CCTGTGATTGGTGATTTTTTGCATGCAGTGGCGAAGCCCGCAGGCATTCTAGATAAGAGATACGCAGCTTCGCAGCTCTGGCAACGATTTACGGTTTCATCAAGACTGGCAAATTTGGCCGGGACGGCGGCTCCACCGCCAGCGGCCTCGACCGCATGTTCGCCGAGCGCGCCGGAGCTTTCAATGGCGCCTATCCAGCCGTTGCCGTTACCCCCAAAGGCCACTGGGGTTTCCACCTTGCGTCCCAACTACGCCGAGATGGGTGCAGCATCGGTTGCTTCGTCGGAGAGCGTCAGAATTGCATCGTGAAGGATTGCGCAGCATCTATCAAGAACACGCGCGCCTTGGAAACATGTGTTCTGAGCCGCGTGCTGGCAGATCGGCTCGGGGCCTTGGCTGATCCAGATTTCTTTCTGGACAGATTGCGCAATCCAGAGCCTGCCCCGACGTTGGCCCGAGCCGCTGCCGCCTCTGCTGCCTTCTTGAGCACGCCCATGAAATTTCGCGGGGCAGTCTTCGTCGCTGGCGACGCTGTTTGGTGCGACGGCGCTGTCTGCCTAGTCGCTGGCTGCGCATCGCTGGACTCTGATTTCGCCCTTCTCTGCCGCGAGATGGTGTTAGTTGAGCAGGTGTCGGCGGCCGCTTCTCGCTGGAAGCACGGGCCTGGACGTGACTATTCGCTACTGCGCCTGGCCGCCTGCGACGTGTGCTTGGCCGCGGGATTTTTCTGGGGGGCTGGCGCCGTCGTCGTGCTTGCTTGGTGACGGACCGAATGTGACTCTCCATCCTTGCCCCCAGCGGTGGGCCCACCGCTTCTTCTCCCAGCGGTTGGTTCACCGCTACTTGGTTGATTGCGCAGCGGTTGGTTTACCGCTGTTCGATCCTCTCATGCCTGTTTGGTGTGTCTCTCTCTCTCTCTCTCTCTCTCTCTTCCCTGCCCCCCCTCTCCCGTCTTATCCCTTTGCAAAAATAGCGAAAATCGTAAACAAAATGTAAAACAGTAGTGTTGTATTTGAATTATTTTAAACACATAGAAGGCACTATTTGTGTATACTCGACAGATATAAACAAGCTAATAAGCCTTTGCGCTAAGCTGAATCAGCGAACAAACAACTGCGCTATTAGCGACGTGCGTCCACTATAGCTCAGATAACTCAGACAGAGGGGGGCGACCATTGCAGCAGGGGCGAGGCCCACGGCGGAAAGCGCGCGGGCGGCCCGGGCGACGCGGGCGCCGCCGCGAGCCTCGGCGCGCATGCTGCCGACATAGGCACGCATATACCTCGGCGCCTAGACCGTCAGACCCTGGCCCAGGAGCGGCAGGCGCGCGCCGCCGAGGGTGGAAAAAGAAGGCCCGCTGGGCGCGGGCGGGCATCGGGCGCGAGGAGGAACTAGACCTCTACATCGCACGGGGCTGCAACGCCTTGGAGGTCGACGCTTGCGAGGGGATTGCGGGCAAGGATCTCTTCGATTCCTTCGCGCGGATGTGCGCTCGGTCGAAGAGCACGCTCAAGGCGATCTCCTTCCCCGCGCTGGTCGCCAACCGGGTGGCGCACGGTTATACCGCCCTGTCTTTCGGCACGGGGCCCTCTGACCTCAGCGCGGGCGACTGCGCCCCAGCCCGCGACGAGGACTTCGACGGCCATCGTCTCCCAGTAGACGACAGGCTGGGGCCCCATCAGCGGCTGGTGTCGCACGTGGCGACCTGCCTCAGGCGCGCGCTGCGAGATGCAAGTGCTCGAGTCGATCATCGGCGTCGAGCGCGGGGTCGAGTGTCGTCGGGCGTTGGCCGATCTCGAGGCCGCGCGCGAGAAGGACCCGAAGGAGTTCTCCGACCGCTGGGTCATGGACCTGCGGGGGGAACTACGTGGTACGCGGGTCGAGGAGCTACGGGAGTTGCGCGGGCGAATCTGCCGCGAGCTCGATACCGATCGCCCGCGGATGGAGGATGTCAAGTACGTGCTCCTGATGCCCGACAATGACTTCAGCCCCCCTTCGGCCCTGCGACCTCGGTGGCCCGAGCGCGCACTGCCAGCAAGTAGTGGCGCCGCGTCGGGGGGCTGGCCGGATGCGTTTGCTTTATGGGTAATTGCGCGCCCCGCGCACCGAGGGCCCACCGAAGGCGGGGGCCGCGGAGCATGGGACTGAGGCGGGCCCGCCCAAGCGCGGGGCGGAAGGCACCGGGGCGGGGGCGCAACCCCAGCAAGGTGCGGCGCCCATGGCGGAGGCGGGCGCTCAGCCTGGAGCCCCGACGAGGAAAGCATACCCCGCCGGGAAGGAGCTGGCGCGGAACGAGAGGACACGATCGGTCACGCACGCTCCCCGCAACAAGGATAACGCCCCCATCTGATGGGGCGCTGCGACCCACGTGGGTTGCGCGCGCAAGGCGGGGGACTGTTGTCTTGATTCGCACGGCGCCATCTTGTCGCTGCGGGGATTGGACTACACGGCGGCGATGCAGCTGACGAAGCGAGGCGCCCTCATCAGGGGACCCCGCATTGACCCTAAGCAAGTCGACGGGGTGATCGCCCAGCTGCGGTCGCAGGCGAAGGCGGCCGAGGCCGAGAAGATCGGCGACGGCGGGGCCCAAGGAGCGGCGGCCGCCAGCGCCGAGACCAAGGCGCGAGGGAAGGGCGGGGGCTCGCGGGCAGCCGGGGGGGCCCAGCCAGGCCAGGCGCTTGGGGATTACGCAGCATTCCAGCTTACAGCCATGGATCCGGACCTCCGAGAGGCGGTGAAGGGCCCGGACGTTGCCTGGTTCGACGACCACGACCAGCCCAGATCGGATCGGGGGGCGCGTGGGCGACCCCGCCCGCAGGTGCGGGCCCGTAGCTGCGCCTCGAGCTGATGCTGGAGCTGGGCGCCGAGGGCATCTTCGCCCCGCTGGAGGGGGCCAGCGACTACCTCCACAGCCACGTGCGCGGGCGCGTCTTGGGGGCGCGCCTGCGAGGCGAGCGCCTCGCGATCGAACGGGCCCTCGAGGAGGCGGCCGACCGGGGCCGCCGCGGTCTCGGTGGGGAAGCCACCGATTCAAAGCATTCAGCTGCGAAACAGGTCAAGTGTCCGAAGGTGGGGCCGACGTGGGGCCAGTATCCCGGGGCGCTGACGGCCGGGCGGGGCGGGGTAGTTACGTTTTCTGGGACGGCGACGCTCGCGTGGAGCGGGCCTTCCTGGACTACCGGGGCCGCTTGGCCCCCCGCGCCGAGCTGGCGCGGGCGCTCGGGGTGGAGGCAGGGGATCCAGAGGAGCGCCAATGTCTACTATTGTAGTGGCCTCCGGCCAGTGCCGGCGATCTGGGGCGCGACCGATTCTGCTCGCAACGGATGGCCCTTTACGTTTAAAGATAAAAACAGCACTCGCTCGGGACATCCTCATAAGATAGGGAGGTTGAAATCGCTTGGGCAACCTGCGGATATGCGAAAGTGACGATCTCGCGTGAACAGACGAACTCCTCGGATGTCCCCCCCCACCTTCCGGGCCTGAATGGCGCCAGCCA